AAGAATTTTATTCTGATTTTATCTGCTCAGGTTCATCAGCTAATGAATCTGCCCCCACACAGGACCTCGCGTAAAGAACACAGATTCAAATTTTACCAAAAGAGCTTACTCTTGACTGAAAGCAAGAAGTTCCACCAGTGAAACAGCATCTTTCGCTGTCTATATTTATGTCTTGCTTCAAGGGTAAATTTGTGGCGACAGTGCAACAGTGCAAATTCTCCATGTGGACAAGATCTAGCTACTCTGCTCCATTATCACCATTCAGCTTATGTAAAACTTCCACAGAATTACAATAGTATAAAATAAATTAACCAAAGGAAAGTTGTAAGGGCATCACCTCAAAAATTTTTTGATATGGTTGAGTGACACTGAAAATGACATTATAATGTATGTCGCTAACGTCTGAGAATTGGAATATCACAGTGTACAATACAGCACTCTGACAAAACCTCTGGTAAAATGAAAAGAAGCACACACAGAGCAATTACAATCCTTGATGTGAAACCTTGCGCTACCCTCATCTTCTGTAAATAAAGGGAAGGGAAGGGAAGGGAAGGGAAACCTTTTCAGAATAAAGGTATACCTAACCCAAAAATTTCCAATTAGCTTTAGCTTTAGCTTCCTCCTAAAGAGAAGGTATTTAGATAAGCTCTATACCTACATTTGGTTGTCTTTGTACAAACAACTGTGACTACAGAAGAAAAAACGGCAAGAAGTTGAAATCTATGAGGGGTACACAACGTACTACAGATTTCTTTATCTTTCCCTTTTCAGGACATCATTGTTCTATTAAAAGATACAGGACATTGTACATTTATTTCTCATGACTTACCATTGGGCTACTGAATGCAGTATGCTTTGAGAGTATGCTTGCCCTTTTTGCTTCAGCTCTGCTGCCAGTGCGTCGGTGAGTTTTGGTACTCTGACTTCTGTGGACTACTTTAATGCTCTGATGGCTGCAGATACTATCACGCTGGGATAAAGTTCCTCCTTTGGGGGCTGCTTCCTCTTCCTCGGAATCAGGTTCCTGGTACATCGCTAAGCGTCTGGCTATCAGTAAAAACAGAGAAGGAGAAATGTTGCATATGTTAAATGTGGCGGAGAAAGAGGGAAAGGGGCATGACGACTTTTTTGCAGTGATCTGGTCTCAGTAATATACTGGGCTTTCATGATAAGAATGAATGATACCATTATCAGGGGATAAAAAAGTCTAATCTTAATTGAACGGTAATATCTAATGGCTGATGCAGATAACATAATTAGAAGCATAATGCAATAAACTGCCTCCCTCATCATCACGCTCTCTCTGAAAGACAGCTAGACTCTACAGTAACTCACTGCATCCCTGAAGCCTACTTCATAGCCCAGCTTGACGAAATCAACCAAATTCTTTGGTCTTCACTTGCAGTCTGAGAAGAAAATAAACAATCCAAAAAACTTTCTTGTCCTTTCCAGCAAAATATGGATATTTCATAAGAAGCATTTTTCAGAAAAAATGTCTTATGACATCTTTCCGTTATCAGTTCCGTTATCTTTCCGTTTATCAGTTAACTGACATGTGAATTGTCTTGCATTTATCTCCAGAACACACCTACAGAGCACTACTGCCCTTATTTTACATACAGAGATGAGGTACAGACAGAGTAAAAGCCTTGCTCAAGGTTGGGGCCGTCTGTTGCAGAATGAATGCTTCAACCTAGGTTCCTGACTCCTAGCCCACTGCTAAGACAACCCTGGAAGCTATCCTCTCCTCTTTGCATAGGATTATAGAGGCAGCATAATGCAGCCTGTGAAACCCAAAATGACTGCACCTTCAATTGCTGCAACATTGGTTTCTATTATTATTTGCTGCACTGTGCAACAGCAGATGCACACAGAATGAAACAGCGTTATATAGTTTTCCAAATGAAACATTTTAAACAAATACATTACTATTCAAGTAACCAACGACAAGAATTAATGTCAGAAACCAACCCTGGCAGTTTAATATACAGAAGATATAAATGAAAGAGAAAGAAAAGGTGTAAAACAGTACTGAATTTGGCCCACCTAATGACAGGTTCCATTTAGTTCTAACTGATCTATAACATATTTTTCCATTCCCAAAAGACCATGGACATTTAATTTGGGTTATTCACTAGACAGGCACTCATCACTTTAACAGGTATCTATTAATTCCTTCATGAGGTATTCACTGAAAAGTTTTTCATTATACTCTCAAAATAATGCATACTACACAGATATTCAGTACAAGTTAAATACTCATGGCTCTGCTTTGTTTCGGTTCTCTGGTGTAACAAATTGGATTCTCCTAATGTCAAATGATAAATCACTAGCATGTAAGTTAATTATTCAGGTATTTAACAAAAAAAATAGTACATGAAGATTTTTCTATCAAAATATTCCCTGAGAAAAATCTTGAATTACATACAGTGAGTCTGGCATGGGGTCACTTTTAATGATGTGGCTAGTTTTAAGATAAAAAAAACCCCCATCCTCTCTGTCCACTGCAATTTTCAATCATGCTTTAGCTGTCAGAAAGCAGTCAAACTCCACATAGTACATGGTGATGGTCTACCACTACAGTATCATATGTCAGAGTTTTTCTCCATCCTATTTGGAATGTATATAGGCTATGTCTGAAATGTGGAGGCTGGGAGAGCTTCCTCGTTCCTGGCTGTGAATATACATACATCCAGGCATTGCTCTAATTCCATGCCAGGAGCGGGCTTGGATATGCAACATCCTCCTCTGCATTCTGGCTTGCACTGGAAGAAAATTCAGGTCAAGCAGGTAGAAAGGGCTGTAGTGTGTTTGCAGACATGAAGAACAAAGACTGCCCCATAGTCTAGACACAACCTTGCAGTCCAGATTTTGAGATGGATATAGACTAACTACGGTGACTCCAGAGTTTCCTTCATTAGCACTATTTGGTGTGATTCACGCTCCTCTGTGTTATGTGATGGAATAAAAGTTGAGCAATGGCATATCTCACACCGTGAGGGGCAGCTGCACAGCAAGCCCCACAGCTGCAAATGGAACAGCGCAGCACTGTCTGCTTCTCCTCCTTTCAAGGGACGCACATCTCGTCCCTTGATGTAGGAGACTGAACCTACAAGATTTCTCAGAAAGTTAGGGCGGTCAGTGGTCTTCTTGACACTTCTGTCGCACATTAACGAGGTGCAAAGAAATAAAGGTCACTTCACCCCCACAGGCCATTTCCCGCAACTTGCTGCACACGCCTTAAGATAGCAAAGGTCCAACCTGTCCAGTCATTCTTGTTTACTCATTTTCACCTTCTTCTGGTCTGTAAGCCTCTACGCAATTTCCTAGTGGAAGTGGAGATCCCTATACTGTAAGTTTAACGCAACTGATCATAGGTTTGCCTCTGTCAGCAGAAGTCCACAAAGAGGGTCAGAAGTGACCTGCAATGTGCCCATAAGCCCTGTCCAGGCCCTCGATCCCCTTGCTGCTGTCTGAGTCCCTCCTGGGAGGAGGACAGCATGCTCACCATTCCCCCCCAGCATCCAAGTTTCTGGGCATCCAAAGGAAACCCAGGTATGTGAGGAAGGAAGGAACCACATGGAAACCTTGGCGAGCTCCCTTAAGGGGATGACTGAAGTACCAGTGCTGAGCTGCACACTGAAGGACCTATGTCCTCTGCACTGAGGAGGTAAGATGGAGTATGCTTCCTTGAATGCAGCCTGTGGAGGGCAGTCCCCGGGCCAGCACCGCAAGCTCAGCCTTAATTATCTTTTGCAGGCTCCTGGCTGCGTTCTGCAAATCCCAGGTTGAAAATCGTTGCTCAGGATGACATACCAGTGAGGCTTTTTGCACCTTACCATTCTGCTGAAGGCTTAAATTCATCATAAGAAGCACATTTCAATGCCCGATCTTGACTAAAGCTCTGAGTGACAAGCTCAATCTAAAAGGAGAGGTGGTGGGGTCTGTGGGCGCTCAGCCTCTCTCAGAAGAGATGTAAGATTGGGTGTGCCACAGAAATAATCTTCCTTACTCTGAATAGTGTGCATTTGAAAGACAGATTGACAGAATGATACACTCCTTGCCATAACAGGAATATTCCTTGACAGGGAAAGGACTGGGTGCGATTATTCTTTTTAGCTTTTGCAAAATGTGCTACCCAGTCGGTCAAACTCCTTTCCAAGCACAGTTGTTTGTTAATGAAAGAGTACATGTTTTTGAGTGATGGTCTACCTTGCTAAGTCTTTTCAAATGAATACGATCTTTCATAATCAGACTTAATTTAAGCTTCTGCTCTGAAAATATATCTTGAAATGTATGACTCCGAAGATCCTAAACTAATTATTTTATTCCAAATATAAAAACTGTAAGTTCAAAAATATGGTGCATTTCATGCACAAAATACCAGTTATGCTTGCACACCTTATCTCTATGTTATTCATTCCTTTCTTCTTACAATACATCTAAAAATACTTCGTTTATTCAGCATAGGAAGAGCTGTTTCCTAACACAGCATTCAGCTTTTTCATTAATATTATACTAATAAGGCAGTCCTCCCTAGTCTGCTTATGTTGCTATTAGCTATCTCTTGTTCCTTAAACAGATTTCCTCTGTAGCTCATTCATTTAATTGTTGCTGCCACTGGGAAAAAGAGAAAAAGGGAAAGTAGATACAAGACAAAAATTTGAAGTCTTTGTACTAGAATTTTATTTTACAAAGGCAAATATACTTCTTTTGATATGAATGGCACAATTTCAGTTTTAAATCAAGGTAAGCTTAATATAAAAAACAGGCCTTTGCACTTTTCAACAGTTGAAGTGCAGTCTTATATATTATGCAGCAAGAATTAAGGAGTTTGAAGAAATAATCAGACGATTCCATCGTTATGTTATGGCTACGGTTCATAATGCTTCAGCTGTGCAAAGCATGCTTCTTTGGGAACATTAAGTTCTCTCCACCCACTCAGCCCCCTCAAATTCAGAACCTCTTCCTAAGAGCATTATAACCTGAAAGACATTGTTGTAGGATGCTTTTCAGTTTCAGCACTGAAAAATTGATGGCCTTGATCTTTTGTCTAATGGAGAGTTTTTTATTAAGGATAAAGACACAAACAACTTCTGGAAACACAGCAATGCAATTTATGAAAGTCAAATTTCACAGTCCTACAGTTCATGCTATATTTATAGCACAAAGAAGAAATGATAATTGATACTTATTCCATGAACTCTCTTCCACCTTTCAGAAGACAACAGTAAACAATCAACAAAACATCAGTAGTAGCTGCTGAAGTATTTTTACAGACACTTCTTTTATTTTTTATTTAGAAAACTCTTTTATTTCATTTATTTTTGTTTTTGTTTATCATCTGCTTCACTCATCATACAATCATATAATCGTACCTTCCATAATACCTATGTTCTACTCTGGAGCATCCATTTTACAGGCCAAAAGGGACATTGGGGCCACCCAGCCATATCTTCCACTAACTGGAAAGGTGCATTCAGGAAACTCTAAAAGAATTTCGTCCAAGCAGAATAGAGTTCCAGACCCCCCAAACAAGAATAAATCTGCTGTCAGTGTGTGGGCCGGCGATGATTCCGTTTGATCCCAAACCATTTTAATAAGGTTGTTATCATGAAGTTATCATGAAGTTAAGTCTAGCGTGTGTAGTAGCATGTACTCGCATCACCTATTTTCCTTACCACTTCATCAGTGCAAGCTTATTCCACTCTGAAGTGCACTCTAACGTCTGCACAAAGAGTTAGTCGAGTAGATAGCGTACTACAAATTTGTAAGAATGAGCCAACGCAGCCTTGAGATTAGGAAACACCATTATTTTCCTTCCTCAACCCTCCTGCCGTCCCCCAGGGCTTAAGGAGAATAATCCTACATCTCTCTTTAAGAACTTTTTACTCGCCTTAGAAATATAAATTACTCCTATTCTTCCAGAAATTTTCCAGAGCAATTGTGCTGTAGGTAAAAAGAAAGTATTAACTGTCTCAAAACTTGCCCATTATGAGCTATTCCATACTCCACAGGAGTTTAAAATCCAGCACTTTCAATGTACT